TCAGATGGTCCTCTGCGCGCAGGGACTTAACTAGCATGACATCAATATAAACTTCCATTGATTTACCTATTTGTTCTTCGAACATTTTATTTACTAGGCGTTGGTAGGTAGCCCCCGCATTTTTTAGCCCGAAGGGCATCACATTATAACAATATATTCCATATTTGGTGACAAATGAAGTCTTTTCCTTGTCCTCCAGGTTCATCCAGATTTGATTATACCCGTAATAGGCATCAAGAAAAGTGAGGATCTCGTGACCGGCCGTGGCATCGATCATACGATCGATGTTGGGTAGTGGAAAAGAATCTTTGGGGCATGCTTTGTTTAAATCCTTATAGTCCACGCACATTCTAAGTTTGTTTCCTTTTTTAGGCACTACAACTATATTGGCTAACCATTCGGGATATTTAACCTCCCGAATGGACCCTATCTTGAGAAGTTTGGTTACCTCGTCTTTTACAAATGCGTGTTTTACCTCGGACTGGGGTCTTCTCTTTTGCTTTACCGGTCTGAACTTAAGGTCCAAGCTTAGCCGATGCGTCGTTATGTACGGTGGAATCCCTGTTATATCTAAATGGGACCAGGCAAAACAATCAATGTTATCGATAAGAAATTGAACAAGTTTCTTCCTGAGTTCGGGGCTCAGCCCCTATCCCAGGTATACCTTTCGTTCGGGCCAGTGCTCGATTAGTGTGGCTTGCTCCAATTACTTAATTGTTGATTTGGTGGCATCGGAGTCATCGGGAATCACGAAGGATCGAGGGACCCTCTGATCATCATGTTCTTCGATCATCTGGTTATCTGGTTAGGTCGAAGCCGAAGTCTGTGATTGCTATTTGGTGTCTCGTTCTCCTTCCGAGGCCGATCCTTTTACTGACAAAGGCGAGGATATTAGTTTGGCTTCCTCGACGTCGAACATTTCTTTTGTGGTTGGTTGTTCTCCGTACACTATTTTGACTCCTCTCGATGTTGGGAATTTAAGGACCTGGTGTAGGATCGAAGGTACGGCTCTCATGTTTTGGATCCATGGCCTTCCAAAAAGGGCGTTGTACCTCATGTCACCTTCGATCACGTGAAACTTTGTTTCTTGGATGGTTCCGGCCATGTTTATTGGTAGAAATACCTCGCCTTTGGTGGTTTCATATGCCATATTGAATCCGTTTAGAACCAGGGCTGCGGGATGGCGGATGTATCAATGCTGAAGTTATATTCCGATAACCGAGGTGCTTCTATAGGATCGACATATTTATCAAAGCCGCTCTTGCTCATAAGTCCCCAAGAATTTTGCCCTTGATCAATCCTTCGATTGTTCCGGGCGGTGTTGCGTGTCGAACGTTGTTCATCCGATCTGCGACGTACGGTTGATATCAGTCTCTGTTCGACCTTTGTTCTCTGTCGATCTCCCTTTGGTTTTTAGCAGTTGTCATGTTCTGGTGCATGGATCCAGACGGAGCTCCCAACCGGTCATCTTCGACCCTAATTTTTGACTGATATCGGTTGTGTATATCTGCCCAAGTTATTGCTGGATACTCGATCAAATTTTGCTGCAGTCAATGCGATGCTATCAAACTTTGCTCGTTCAACCCTTGGGTGAAAGCTTGGACGGCCCAATCGTCTGTGACCGGTGGCAATTCCATGTGTTCCATTTAAAATCGGGATACGAATTCCCTCAACATTTCATTACCTCTTTGCTTTACTTTGAAGAGGTCTGATTTCCTTGTTGCAACCTTTATGGCTCCACCATGTGCCTTTATGAACGAATCTGCTAACATGGCAAAAGAATCGATGGAATTTGGCGGCAGATTGTGATACCAAATCATCGCTCCCTTCGAGAGGGTCTCCACGAACTTTTTAAACAACACAGATTCGATCTCATCGTCCTCCAAATCATTACCCTTGATGGCACATGTGTAAGACGTGACGTGTTCATTAGGATCGGTCGTACCGTTATATTTGAAAATTTCGGGCATATGGAATTTTTTGGGGATTGGTTTTGGGGCCGCACTCGAGGGAAAAAGGCTTTTTTATGAATTTTTTCGAATCCAGCCATTTTATCATTGGCGGAGCTCCCGGGATCTAATTGACCCTGGCATTGTATTTTTCCACTCTCTTGTCGTTGGCTTCGACTCGTTTTGTGAGTTTCTCGAGCAATTTAGTAATTTCGAGAGTGGTCCCCGATTCTTGCTCGTTTGATTTCACTATGGCGGGCTCCGTTCTGGGGGTGATTTCTCGAAGCGGATTGGGATCCGCCCTGCTTTGTATATGAGTTTAGCTCTGCAACTGAGCTATCGTTACTTGTTGGGCTTGTAACATCTCGAAGATCATGCGCAAGCTGACTCCGATTTTCCCCACGTTCTGGGTGTCTCGAGCTACGGATCGAGTACCACCCTAAATGTTTTTTTTCGGTTCGGAAAGTTGGTTCGCCTCAAGAGTCACTTGCGAATTGACATCTAACGGTACTTCGGCTCGAATTTCTGGTACTTCGATTCGAGCCTCAGTGCCATCGTCAAGTGGCCTTCCGGCCCCGGGTACCAAGTTGTTGGTTTCATCTTGAAGGCCGGCTTCGTGGTCGATAGGTAAGGCCATTGCTGATTCGAAGTTGTAAACTGGTGTGTACTGCAAATTTATATCAAACAACCACTGTTGTCCTTAGCCCCACGGTGGGCGCCAAACTGTTTACCCGAAAAATCAGATAACGTTAAATTTGTGTATGGTTCTAAGGATATGCGATACAATTTGATACAAATAATATAGAGAAATAGAAATATGAGTATTCTTGGCTATGAGAATGGGAATAGTGAGCAAAAGAATGAATAAGGTAAAAATAAACAAGCATTAGGAGATATATTTCAATATGAGAAGTGATCTTTTATTTTACAGTGTATTCTCTGTGTCCCCTGCTTACAAGGATCCCCTCCCCCTTTATAATAGAGGGATCCTACTTCATTTATAATAAAATATAGCATATAGTGGAGGACGCATGATGATTTGTCTCTTCCTCGATTCCCGCCAAGATTCTCTCTCTTAGTGTGGTTGTAACGGCTCTTGTCTGTGAGCTCGGCACTGGCTCGGGCTCGTTATTGGGTCGAACCCTCGGTCTTGGCTTGAGTTCGACCTCTAGGGTAGGTGTAGCGCATTTCTGACCTCGAAGCAATGCCTTGCGGACCGATCTCCTCGATCAGCCTTCAGACTCGAGGCTCGTTTGTACTGCCTTCGGAACTCATCCCAAAATCCCACTCTGGTTGCTTACCATTCATACAGTGATCGTTGTGATCTGTTAGGCCGGAGTTTATATATAAAGCCAAGAATCTTCCGATGGACATCCTGCCGTAATACTCTACTACCTTATTTTAGTCACTTGCATTACATTATTGCCTACATATGCGGAGAAAGTATTAGAAAAAAAACGTTATTACCAGTATTTAATGATGGCTTTATTCCTTAGAGAATGGAAAAGATGCACACGTTGTCCCCGAACTTCTTGACTTTTCGTGAAAATCATGATCCATGCTCTCTCCATGCAAAGTCATATTTTACTGCGTAGATTTTTTTTATGTTATGTTATATATAATATATGCCCTTTATAATAGTATTTTATTATATCATTCAAAAAATATCGGAATAAATATCGGTATTATAGAGAGGTAATTTGACTGTAGTTGTAATTACAGTTGTTCTCGCTGATTTCTTAATGGAAAACATTGACGGATTTTATATTTGGAATTAAATAGGTTTTAAGAGGGATACCAACGATTATACATATATATTAATTTGTATTCATGTGTGTGTTACTGTGAAATTCGAGTTAATTTTATTTTGGGTCAAATTTAATTTTATTTTGGGCCAAAGATAACGTTAAGCTAACTAGAAAATATTACTATCATTGCTCACTAGAGTATCATTAAGGATACTCTCATTACCAAGTCTATTCAAATTATTACACACAGTAGACGGAATCCAGAGCTAATATTAAGATACCGTGTGTCTTTGTATCACGAGAACCAGAAACTTGAGCAACTTGCTTGAATATTCAAACCCCTTAATTAGCTTTAATTTCTTTCTTTTGTTCTCGTTTTTCTTGTCGACTTTCATTTATTTATACGCACGTTTGAACTTCATCCTAATAATTAATATTGTTAGCTGCCATGGATCTGAAGTTTGAGCTCGAGGAAGAAGACATGCAAGAGAAGGCAACACTCAGAGGATGAGAGAAAACAGAATTTGTTATTGAGAAGAAAATGATACAATCGTCTATTTGTATATGAGTGTACTGTGTATTTATAAAGCTACAATATAACTACCTTCTAACACTGTACTAACTAACTTACTTCTAGCTACAGTCTGCAGTTACATTTCTAACTATGGTTAACTTATCAGCTTGCTTCATTAACTTCAGTCAACATTCCCCCTCAAACTGATGGTTGATATACATTCTTTACTCCTAACTTGTTCAGTAAATGATCATGTTGAAACTTCCCCAAGCTCTTTGTCAGTAAATCTGCTAGTTGATCTTTAGTATGTACACACTCTGTCTTCAACAGTCCTTGACATATTTTCTCCCTAACAAAATGACAATCAATGTCTATATGTTTGGTCCTTTCATAGAAGATAAGATTAACAGCTATTTGTATAGTAGCCTTGCTATCGCATATCAGACTTATAGGCTGCTGAATTCTAACTCCAAGTTCCTTGAACAGCCCTACCATCCAAGTGACTTACGTTGCACATGAAGCCATACTTCTGAACTCAGCCTCAGCTGAACTTCTGGACATAGTCACTTGTTTCTTTGCCTTCCAAGACACCACTGCATTTCCAAATTTGACCAAATACCCAATAATTGATCTCCTTGACTCTATACAAGATCCCCAATCAGAATCACAGTAGGCAGCCAGCTTGTTTGTACTTTCTGCAGGCATAAGTAACCCCAAGCCTGGTGCTTCTTTGATATATCTCACTACTCTAAGAGCAGCTTTCATGTGTGACACCTTGGGACAGTGCATTTACTGACTTAAGACCTGAACTGCAAAGGCAATATCAGGTCTTGTCATGGTGAGATACAGCAGCCTTCCCACAAGTCTCTGGTAGCAACTAGGATTCTTGAGTTCCTGATCACCTTCTTGTTTGCAATTCTGAAAGCATTTGTCATACTCTACAGATGTGAGTTTCTTATTCAACTCTAATGGTGCACCAGAAGGCTTTGCTCCACCCAAGCCTGCTTCAGATATCAACTCTAGTGCATACTTTCTTTGACACATAAGGATTCCTTTCTTTGATCTAGCAAATTCAATTCCCAGAAAGAATTCCAGCTCCCCTAAGTCCTTCATCTTGAACTTCTTCTGCAATTCTATTCTGGTGTCACAAAGTAACTTATCATTGTTCCCTGTGATCATCAGGGTCAACCACATACACAAGGATGATAACTATGTCACTATTGGATCCTCTGATGAACAATGAATAATCATAGTGACTATGTTTAAACACCATCTGCAGGAGTACCTCTGTTAACTTCATATTCCACTGCCTTTGGTGCTTGTTTATGTAACGACCCAACTGGTCGTTTTGAGAGTAATAGCTTTGATCCCCTATTTACTGCTTTTCATATCTATTCCTGCTATTGTGACATGCCGGGAGGTTTCGTTTTGTTTTTTTGGAGTGTTTTGGGACACTTAGTCCCTAAATGGAGGTTTAAATCTTAGGATTTAGACCGTAATTGGAACTATATTAAGACGACTCCAGAATAGAATTTCGTCAGTTCCATTAGCCCTGTTAGGTGATTTTGGGCTTAGGAGCGTGTACGGATTGTGTTTTGGAAGTTTGTAGCTCAAATAGGCTTGAAATGGCTAAAATAGGAATTTAAGTTTGGAAGTTTGTACGAGGAGTTGACTTTTTGATATCGGGGTCGGAATGTAGTTCTGAAACTTTTCATATCTTCGTTATGCCATTTATGACTTGTGTATAAAATTTGAGATCAGTCGGACTTGATTTGATAGGTTTTGACATCGAATGTAGAAGTTGAAAATTCTTAAGTTTCATTAAGCTTGAATTGGGGTGTGAATTGTGATTGTAGTGTTGTTTGATGTGATTTGAGGTTTCAAATAAGTTCGTATGATGTTTTAGGACTTGGTGTTTTTGGTTGAGGTCCCGAGGGCCTCGTGTGAGTTTCGGATGGTTAACGGATCAAAAGTTGAACTTAAACAGTTGTTGCAAAAGCTGTTGCAATTTTCTTTTGCTGGAAATGCAGAAATCGAGCCAAGGATCAAAGCCCGGAAATCGAGCTCAGAAAATCGAGCCCAGGATCGAAGCCCAAAAATCGAGCCCAAGGTCGATGGCCAGGATCAAGAGCCACGATCGAAGGCTCAGGATCGAGGGCCACGATCGAAGGCTCAGAATCGAGGGCCATGATTGAAGTTCATAATTGAGGGCCATGATCAAAGGTCAGAATCGAGGTCCATGATCGAAGCCACGATCGAGGTCCATGATCGAAGGCTCAGAATCGAGGGCCATGATCGAAGGCTCAAAATCGAGGGCCATGATCGAAGGCCAGAATTGAGGGCCATGATCGAAGGCCAGGATCGAGGGCCATGATCAAGGGCCACGATCGAAGGCTCAGAATAGAAGCCATGATCGAGGGACATGATCGAAGCCATGATCGAGGGCCAGGATCGACGGCTGCCTGGGCAGAATTATAAAACAGGGGACTTTGTCCCATTTGCCATTTTGACATATTGGAGCTTGAGGAGAGGGGATTTTTGATAGATTTTCAAGGAAAAATATTGGGGTAAGTGATTCTAATTCGTATTTGGTCAATATACACGAATATATCATTGTTTTCACCATTTAATTAATGTTTTGAGATGGAAATTTAGAAAAAAATTAAAAATCTCATAGAAACGATTTTTTGAGATTTCGGTGTCGATTCGGAGTCGGATTTGAATAAAACTTGTATGGTTGGACTCGTAATTGAATGAGTTATCGAATTTTGTAAGTTTCGACGAATTTTGAAACGTAGGCCCCACGGGTGATTTTTGAGTTAATTTCGGATTTTTATTGGAAAATATAGTATTTTCTTATGAAATTGATTCCTATAATTTTTGTTGACTGTATCGAATTATTTTGGCTAGATTCGAGCCATTCAGATTTGGATATTCATGGAAAAAGCATTCTTACCGATTGATTGAGTTTGGTTCGAGATAAGTGGCTTGCCTAACTTTGTGTGGGGGAATTCCCTGTAGGATTTGTACTGTTTTTGATATATAAGTGTTGTGTACGTGAGGTGACGAGTACGTACACGGGTTAATTGGGTAAAAAAACAATTTTTCTACTAAGTAATAACTTGATTTCCTTCTTATTTGAGTTCCAACAGCATGTGTGGTATCCGGCTAGACTAGAATAGCATGCCTACTTGCCTTAACTGTTCACTTGAACTACGTGCAGCATATTTAGTGAATTTACCTGTCTTTCCTTAATTGGTACTTAGGTTGAACTGTAGAATTTCATGTCGTAACTATCGAATTCTATTGTTTGGCTGCATATTTACTTTGGGACTACAGAACGGTATTCCGGGAGATCCCCTTGTACTGCATATTTACTTTGGAACTAAGGAACGGTATTCCGGGAGATCCCCATGTACTGCATATTTACTTTGGGACTACGGAACAGTATTCCGGAAGATTCTCATGTACAGCATATTTACTTTGGGACTACGGAACAGTATTCCGGAAGATTCTCATGTACAGCATATTTACTTTGGGACTACGGAACGGTATTCCGAGAGATTCCCTTGTACTGCATATTTACTTTGGGACTACGGAACGGTATTCCGGGAGATCCCACTGTTTTGCACATTTACGTTGGGATTACGAGACTGTATCTCGGGAAATCTCCTGTTGTTATCTCTATGTACTGAGCTGTTGTCTTCTATGATTTCATTCTTATTAAATTTCAGTCTTTATTTTACTGTGGTATTTCATTCTATCTTGTGTTATTATATATATACCAGTAGGGCCCTGACCTGACCTCGTCACTACTCGATCGAGGTTAGGCTTTCCACTTAATGGGTACCAATTGTGGTGTACTCATGCTACTCTTCTGCACATGTTTTTTGTGTACAGATCCAGGTACTCCTTATCAGCCGCACTATCAGTGAGTCGGGATAGCTTTGGAGACTTCAAGGTATATTTGCCACGTCCGTAGACCTCGGAGTCCCCTTCTACTCTTCTCCATGTCCATTATCTTCTGTATTTTCTTTTGATAGACTCTGATGTATAGAAACACTAGATTTTCTTCCTGTAGTTTGTGATTTACGAATGTTCCAGGTTTTGGGAATGTTGTGTAGTATATTGAGGAGTTGGTTATTGTACATGCCAAGTGGTATGGTACTCAGTTATAGTGTTATTGCTATAGTTAGTTGTTAAATTTATGTTTTCATTTTATTTACTCCGCAAAATGCTAGGCTTACCTAGTCATAGAGACTAGGTGCCGTCACGACGTCATACGGAGGGGAAATTGGGACGTGACAAGTTGGTATTAGAGCTCTAGGTTCATAGGTGTCATGAGTCACAAGCCGGTTTATTAGAGTCCCGCGGATCGGTACGGAGACGTCTGTACTTATCTTCAGGAGGCTATGGAACTATTAGGAAAATTTCACTACTTTGATTCCTTGTCGTGCGAAAATTGTTGACTTCAAAAATTCTAAACTTTTGTATTCTATTCTCTCACAGATGGTGAGGATACGTACAAGCGGATCTAATGTCCAGGCACCCGCGCCCCCTGCTAGAGCCGCGAGAGGCCAGGCCGTGGTAGAGGCTGAGGACGTTCACGTGGTACAGCCAGGGCACCCGCACGAGCTACTACAGAGAAACCCCAGTAGCTCCAGCTGGAGGGCAGACACGTGAGGTACCTATTTTTGCACTAGCCCTCCGGGAGACTCTAACCCAGTTTCTAAGTATGTTCAGCACCTTAGCTCAGGCTGGATTGATCCCACTTGCTCCTGCCACATCTCAGGCCGGGAGAGGAGCACAAACTCCCGTCGCCGGTACTCCAAAGTAGTGGGTTCAGGTCGACCAGGTTCCAGAGATTGTACCAATGCAGCCAGTAGCTCCAGGCCAGCCCGAGGTTAGGGCAACATCTTCTGAGGTGGAGCAGCTCAGACTTGAGAGGCACAAGAAGTACCACCCACCTACCTTCAGCAGATTGGCTACAGATGATGCTCAGGGTTTTCCGGAGGAGCGTCATCGTATTCTCCGTACTATGGGCATAGCGGAGACGAGCGGGATTTCTTTTACTACATTCTAGCTTAGAGAAGCAGCCTATCAGTAGTGGCATGCTTATGAGCTAAGTAGTCCGGATGAGGTAGTTTCACTTACATGGACTCAGTTCTCGGACATGTTTTTGAGAGAGTATGTCCCTCAGAGCCTCAAGGACTCATGACGCGCGAAGTTTGAGTAATTGCGCCAGGGATACATGATTGTGTCAGAGTATGCAGTCTATTTCAGTGATTTGGCCCGACATGCACCGGCCTTGGTTACCACAGTTCGATAGAGGGTTCGATGGTTTATTGAGGGACTCCACCCCAGTATCCGGATTAGTATGGCCAGGGAGTTGGAGATGGATATTTCTTATCAGCAGGTTGTGAGTATTGCTAGGAGAATGGAGGGCATGCTTGCCCAGGATAGAGAGGAGAGGGAGACCAAGAGGTCTCGAGAGACTGGTTCTTATTCTGGTGCTGGTGCCCCAACATCTTGCCATGGTAGGGGTTATGTGAGTCGCCCCGTTCATTCAGCTCTTCCAGCCGCCAGTGGTATCCCAACCCCTTCTAGGCCCCAGGAGCCTTATTATGCACCGCCAGTATCTAGTGTGCCTCCTACCTGGGGTGTTCCTAGCGGCCAGTCCAGCAGATCTAGCCAGAGCCAGTCACAGCAGCCACGCCTTTCCAGAGCTTGTTTTGAGTGTGGCGACACTCGCCATATGGTAAGGGATTGCCCCAGATTTAGGAGGGGTACACCTCCACAGGCTTCTAAGCCACAGGGTGCTCCACCGGGTCCTCAGGCTATGATTACCGCACCAGCTGCCACCCCACCTGTTCAGCCAGCCCGAGGTGGAGGTCGGGGAGGTCGAGGTCGCCGTAGAGGGGGAGGCCAAGCCAGATATTATACCCTTCCTACTCGTACAGAGGCATTCACTTCTGATTCTGTCATTACAGGTATTGTTCCAATCTTTCATAGAGATGCGTCGGTATTATTTGACCAGGCTCTAAATATTCCTATGTGTCCTCTTATTTTGCCCCGTATTTGGGCGTATCGCGGGATTCTTTGAGTTCCCCTATTTATGTGTCTACTCTTATGGGAGATTCTCTTATTGTGGACCGTGTGTATCGGTCGTGTTTGATTGC